ATTCATCAAAAGAAAGGGGGAAAAAAAGAAAAAGACAAAGTCGACCACAATAAAAGGAGGAAAAGCCGACAGCCAATTTTATGGCAAAACTGCCTTCGCTGGCGACATTTTCATGCCTTCTTAGGCTACCCAAGCTGTCAATCCGGGCAGCTACAAAATGATGTTCGATTTCTTCTATTTGTATATCATACGATAATGGAGAAATTGATTCAAAAAACCTTATGGCATCTGCGGAAGAAGATCGCACAAAAACCAAGTTCGGCCATAGTGGAAGGAAACGGTAATTTTGCACATTGGGTTTTGAATTTCTTTACATGTGTTTATTTAATGAATATATTATACATATATTCACCAAACGAAATTGGGTTTTGGTTGCAAGAGGCAAGAACAGAAAACAGGGAATGGGTTTTGATTTTCTGGGTTATTCAATGGGCAATCCCCAGTAGGCTTTTGACGTCCCATTTTTCGATTTGGGGACGGATCGGATTGGTTCCAATACAAATCAACAAACAGAGTTAAGGAAGCTACAGGAGTAATTATGTACCAAAAAAGAAAATCCTTGTGTTGGATTGTTAAGTGGTTTTGTCATTTGGAATACACATGTTGAATTCCCAATACCAGACATGTTCCAAGCTATATCTCATATTGCAATGTTTTAAGATTCTTCACGTGGAGTGAAATTTTTTTTTTTTAAAATATTTTATGGAGGATTTTTAGTCTTAGCATGTTAGCTCTGATACCAATTTTTGAAAATAAATTTTAATTATGTTAAGAATCAAGAATCACGAAATCATAAATTGATAAATCGAATTCATATTTGCGGAAGTCATCGTTAATATAAATAATATCAGTAAGATCTTCCACTCCTTACTCCTCACAAAAATGTTGGCCATCAATGGGGCAAGCCAATAAAACCATATGGAGAGGAGAGGGGACATAATCTTTATATATGAATTTATTTAGTCGTTCCATTATCGACTTAAACCCTAATTAGGGTTTACGTATAATTCCGGTCCATATATTAGAAATTACCACATTATATCAAATAAAGTCCGTAAAGTGTAAAACGGTCCAAATTGATCACTTAACATAATTGGCCCAATCATAATGTGATTGTGAGCCATACATCTAACCTGTAATATTTTACAATCGAATGTGAAGCCCATATTTAAAATTATTCTAACAACTACTTGTTAGCAAGAAATTGATTTAAAGTGATTATTTTAAAATATTTTCCACCGCTCATTTTCAAATACACGTTCCTTCAAAGAAATTATGTTTTAAATATCCTCAAACTTTTGCCTACTTTTTCACCACATATTCCATAAAAAGAAAAAAAAAATTCAAATAATCACTTTCACATAAACACTAAGAGTGTGTTTAATTGCCTATATTTTCCACGGAAATTGTGTTTTTTCCATTCAAATTCCTACATTTTCCTGTTTGATTACCATTTTTTTCCATGCAAAATATTTTACCACTTTTGGTCACGTGACCATATTTTTCTCAAAATCAAAGAAAATATTTTCCTTAGAAAGATTATGATTTTATTTTCCACGGAACTCACTATCTCTTTCTCTCTCTCTCTTATTTATTTACTCTCTCTCATTAACCCACCAACAAAAAATAGATAAGTATAATTTTTTCTAAGTTGAAAATTAAATCAATCAAACACATTTAATTGACAATTTCCATACAAATAAATTCTAGGCAATTGAATTAGCTAGAATTTATTTTCTTTTTATGCAAGTTCCATGTTTGCAATCAAATGCACCCTAAGGGAAAGGAGTTTCTAAGTTCTATTGGACACACCATCTTTTTACCAATTGGCAACATGATTCCATAAAGGATAATGCTCAATGAACAGGGACAACTAGTTGTCTCCCTGTAGGAAATCTGTGAAAGATTTCTTGTAAGTGTAGTATGATTCTTCCATAAATTCCACTGAAACACCCAATTTTGAAATCCCAAACCATGTCCTATTACTATATCAAGTTGTTCCTACACTTTTTAAAGTAATCTAAGCGGACCTTGTGCAATCTCTTTTCTAAACTTTTTCTCGCCGTATAGTAAAAACCTACCACGATCAATGTATATAGCTAGGCATCAAGGATGAACCACTATAAATGTTTTAGTATATCCTTTTTCGATTTTCTGTTTTTTACTCTGAGAGTTAGGGATTTGAGCTTAATCCATAATGTGGATGTTTAACAATTGCAGGATGGCATTAGATACGAAAGCTGCAGTCAACAAAGATTTGAAGGTTGAGATTACCTTGGCTGCCGAGGTTGTCTTCCTAACATTAGGGTCGGCCGTGAATACTGGAGAGCTAGGCAAGAAAATATTACAAAGAACAATTGTCTATGCTCTCCCATCACTCTATAGTTTCGTCCCATTTCAAGCTTTATTTGTTGAAATATTTCTAATATGTTGATTATTTATTTTACAGGTTAAATGTATGGCTCATAATGATATTTGTGATTGAGTCAAATTTATTAAGTGATTAATTGAGCCTTTTACACCTTACGCATGCATTTAATATGATGTGGTAATTTTACATGTGTGGGCCAAAAATATATGTAAACCCTAATTAGAGTTTAAGTCTTAATGGGAAGGCTTGATAATTTCCTATGTAAAGGCTAGGTTCCCTCTCCTCTCCATATTGTTAGCTTGTCTCATTGATGGCTAATACTTTGTGATGAGTAAGGAGGGGAATATCTAACTTCTATTATTCATATCAATGGTGGCTTTCGAAAGTATGAATTCGATTTATCAATTTATTATTTTCTGATTCTTGATTTTTAGCATGATTATAATTAAATTTAACAATTGGTATCAGAGTCTTCATGCTAAGATTATAATTCTTCATAAAAATAATATTCTATCTCGATTGTTTCAAACTCTTTCATCTTTGCATTAAATTTTCATATGGAGTTTCCTGTGCATTCATGCATGCACATATGTATAATTCATTATACAAACTTATGTAAAGAAACCAAAACATGCATATACTATCAAAGCACCATTTTTCTCGGCCTAACCGCCTGCAAGTTTCCAGTAATAGGATCCCAACCATAATCTTCCTTGGATCAACTCTCCCTATCTCACCTATACGTGCGAGCAAATTTTGGTATAGAATCTACAAATACAGGGCAGCATCCTTTTTCTCCAGTTCCCTTACGGTAGCTTCCACTACTCAACATCAAATAATCCCAAATTCGATATACCAAAAGGCCCCAATCAAGCTCCGTATTTAAGCCGGCCCCCAAATCGTCGTTTTCACCAATAGTTTTCATTGAAAATCTAATTTTGCAAAATCGCGCATCTATTTGAAATTTAATCTCAGGTAGAATCCTTCCCAACTTGTCAACATAAACCACTTACTCAAATCAGCAATGATAGTTGATCTTCCGAGTTGCTGCAACTAATTCGGTGCCTGCAGTAATTACTAGACAGTAGAGTAGTTATGGCTGATTTCTGTATTTCTGACTTCCAATCTGGTTTGAGGGTATTGGTTGAAACTGGTTATGATGTGATGTGTTTTGTTTGGCTTGTTGTGACATCGGTTAAAGGAGAAATAAATGTTGGATTTTGGGGGTTTTATTTTTCCTAATTCGACCATGTGTTTTATTTTTTGGACGGGGCCGTCTCTCGCATTTGTGAGATGACAGGCCTCTGTGTGCAATTAGAAACTGGGGCCACATTGTAATTTTTAAAAATAAGGACCTGCCACTCAATTTTAAATATTGAAGGACCTATTTTTAATTTTAAACCTAGGGTTAAGATGTAATTTTCAAAAGGGGCATTAAATTTGAACTTTTAAAAGTCTTGACCCTATAAATTTTTTATTTATTTAAACTTGATTATGAATTGTTGCATAATTATTATTTTGTGATTAAATTTTTTTCATGGGTTTTGAGACGACCCTTATTTTTCCACTAAGAAAAATGTTTTGAAATAAAATGGGTGGTTGCTGGCAAAGCTCCACATTCATAGTTATTTATTTGATTTTCTCTACAATAAAAAAGTTAAAAAAAAAAATATTTTTGCACAACAATTTTGATTTATTGAACATAATATCTTACCCAAAGGTGCTATTATATGTGATATTTTGAAAAATGATATAAGACAGTTAACGAGTTTAACTTGGTCTAGAAATTTCCTTCTGTCCAAATGTGTTGGAATTTCGAAAACTAATGTGATTTTGTTAACTAGTTTCATGATGTGTTTTATGAGTATTTTATAGCATGTTGTATTGTCAGCCCAAGTGTGACTCTATGATGATGCATCTAGACTCTTACCGAAATAAAATTCATATGGTTTTGATTTTAATTATAGATTATCCAATTAATAGCCTGTGTTAATTAGATAGATATTTTATCATCCATTTGACTGCATGCATTATGTTTGGATAATATTGAGTATGATATTTTATGTTTTCACAATTTCTAATGCCTCATCTCTTTCGAGTCAATTTCTGTTATTGAAACCTTGACTGAAAATAATTATGTAAGATGAAAATGAGATGTAGAAATAACACTTGGTCTTTTAGGCTTGGATTTTCCAATAGAGAAAAAGCTTGAGAAACTCACAGATAAGAGATTGTTGAATATGAAGCTGAGTATGAAAAGTGGAAAAAGGGTCAACAAACTCTGTTTGAAAATTATTAAGCAATACATATTTGATTCCATTATGGGCGCTATCCCAGACAATTAAAATGCCAAAGGTTTTATTGAGTCTCATAAAGCCAAAATGGGGATTTAATAGATAAACATGAAATATGATGGTACCAGTGGTGTTAGGGAGTATGTCATGGAAATGATAAATATATAATCTAAACTAAAGGCTCTTAACATTCCTATTGCGGAGCTTTTTCTGGTTTATCATTTTTAAATAGCCTTCTTAGCCAGTTCAATCAACTTAAAGTCACATACAATGCCCAGCGAGATAAATGAGATTTAGATGACCTTATAGCAATATGTGCCCAAGAGGAGTATAGGATGCGGCGTGAGACTGTTGAAACTGTGCAATTAGTTTTTCAGCCATTACAAAACAGGGAGTCTTCTTATAACCATAAGTCTAAGTCCTGTAAAGGCAATAAGTTGCACCAAAATCAGCAGAATAAAAATTTTGGGGGTCAGATTTCTAGTGGTCTTAAAAGAATTATGAAGAAAAATGATCAATGTAAGTTCTGAAAAAACAAGGGTCATTGGCAGAAAGATTATTTTAAGTTTAAGATTTGGTTAGAGAGGAAGAAGAGTTCTGTAAGTATTCCCTTGGCCCTAGTTTGTTTTTTAGTCTTCTTTATTAGATATGCCTTTGAATTCTTGGTAGCTAAACTCTGGAGCAAGTATTCATATTGCGAATTCCTTGCAGGGGTTCACAAGCAAACGGAGGCCAAGTGAGAATGAAGTGAGCTTGAGCATTGGAAATGGTGTTCAAGTGAATGTTGAATTCATAGGAGCAGTGAAGTTGCACTTAGAGTTTGGTTTTTCTCTTATTTTGGAAGATATAGTTTTTGTACCGTAAATAAGACGAAATTTAATTTCTATATCAAAATTTGATGCTTGTGGTTTTTCCTTTAATTTGGGTAATGGAATGGTCAAGTTGTTTTATGATTATCGTTTGATTGGGAATGACCTTTTATGTGATGATTTATATAAATTATCTTCAGCTCCTTTTGGTGAATTCTCGTATTTTACCAATGTATCAAAGAAAAGGGCTCTAATTTGTGAATCATCCTTTATGTTGTGGCATAAACTATTGGGTCACATTTCTAGGGATAGAATGAAAGGATTGGTAAAAGTTGAGATACTTCCCCCTCTCGACTTTTCTGATTTTGACACTTGTGTGGATTCTATAAGGAGAAAGCCAACTAAGTCTACAAGGAAATGTTCCACTAGGAGTGATGGTGTTTTGGACTTGATACATACTAACATCAGTAGACGCTTGCCTTCCACCATATGTGGGAACAAATATTTCACAACTTTTATTGATGATTTTTCACGATATGGATGTGTTTACTTGATTAACAATAAATCACATGCACTTGAGAAATTCAAAATTTTCAAACTGGAAGTAGATAAACAATGTGGAAAAAATATCAAGGTGGTAAGATTTGACCGTGGTGGTGATTATTATGAGAAATATGACGAGTTTGGTCAAAACATGAGTGATTTTGCAAAATTTTTACAAGAGTGTGGAATAATACCTCAATAAACCATGCTAGGGACACCTGAGCAGAATGATGTTTCTGAAAGACGTAATGGGACTCTGAAAGATATGGTCAGGAGCATCATGAGTAGAACAAATTTGCCTGAATATTTATGGGGTGAAGCTTTGAAAATTGCCATGTATATTTTGAATAGAGTCCAAGTAAAGCTATTGCAAAGACACCTTTTAAATTATGAATGGGACGTAAGCCTAGTTTAGCTCATTTCAATGTTTGGGGATGTCCAGTTAAGGTTAGGATTTATAATCATTTTGAAAATAAATTAGACCCGAAATCCACTCCTTTCTACTTCATTGAGTACCCAGAGAGATCAAAAGAACACAAGTTCTACTGTCCACATCGTGGCTCTAGAATTGTTGAGTCCATTGCTGCTAAATTTCTGGAGAATGACTTTGGTGATAGGGGGAGTTCTACATTAAGAGAACTTTATGTTGAACTAAATCAAGTTGTTGTTCCAATTCCTGTTATACGGCAAAGAGTTGGTTCTCAACTGGTTGAAGTAGTTAATGAAGAACAGAGAAACTAAGAGGAATCTTCCATCCTTCCAACAACGATCGAGTCAGTTCTTGAGCCACAAGTTAGGAGATCACAAAGGGAAAGAAGTTATATTACATATTTATTAGAGAGTGATTTTAATACTGGGCATATTGTTGATCTTGTTAATTATAATCAAGCGTTGACAAGTCTTGAGGCTGATAAATGGATAATTGCCACGGAAGATAAAATGAATTCTACGGAATAGAATAACGTTTAGGAACTTGTTAAACTTCTTGTAGATGCTAAAACTATAGATAACAAATGGGTTTTTAAAAGTAAATTGGATTCAAAAGAAAATGTTGAGCGAAAGAAAGCAAAATTGATTGCAAAAGGTTTCACTCAACGAGAAGACATTGATTATTTTGAAACCTTTTCACCTGTTTCGTCAAAAGATTCATTTCGAATTATTATGACACTTGTGGCACACTATAATTTGGAACTTCATCAGATGCATGTTAAGACAATAGTTTTGAATGAAAATCTTTCTGAAAAGGTTTACTCGAGACACCTAAAGGCTTTGTTGTGAAAAGAAAAGAAAACTTAGTATGCAAGTTAAACAAATCCTTATATAGCTTCAAGCAAGCATCGTGACAGTGGTATTTGAAATTTGACAAGGTTGTAACCTTTCTTGGTTTTGTCGAAAATATAGTTGATCAATGCATTTATCTCAAAACTAGTGGTAAAAATTTTATTTTTCTTTTCCTGTATATCTGCTTGCTAGCAGTAACTTAGGGTTGCTTCATGAGACAAATAAAATATTGTCTACTAATTTTGAGATGAAAGATCTGGGAGAAGCTTTTTGTGTGTTTGGCATTGAAATATATCGTGATAGAAATCGTGGTTTGTTGGGACTTTATCAGAAGGCTTATATACGACGTGTTCTACAAAAGTTCAATATGCAAAATTGTGTACCAGGTGACGTACCTATCATAAAAGGGTATAAATTTAACAAAGCTCAATGTTTAAGGAATGAGCTAAAAAGGGAATCTATGAAGACGATTCCATATGCTAGTATTGTAGGGAGCTTGATGTATACTCAAGTTTGCACTAGATCGGATATAGCCTATGCAGTCAGTGTCCTTAGTAGGTTACGGTTCAATCTAGGACAAAAGCATTGGAAAGTAGCTAAGAAAATTATAAGATACTTGAAGAAATCTGAAGGTGATATGCTTACATTCTAGCATTCAAATCATTTTGAGGTGGTAGACTATTTAGGTTTTGATTTTGTTGGATGTCAAGATGATTTGAAATCAATCTCAAGTTATATTTTCACGTTAGCTGGTGCTGTTATCTCTTGAAAAAGTGTTAAACAAGCTCTAGTAACATTTTCTACTAAGCAAGCTAAATTTGTGGCATGTTATGGGATTATAGTCCAAGCCGTTTGGTTAAGAAATTTCATCTCTGGGTTGAAAGTCATTGATTCCATCTCGAAATTAATCACTATCTACTGTGATAACAGTTCAGCAATATTCTTTTCAAAGAATAATAACAGTTCTAGCTGGTCAAAGCATATTGACATTAAATATTTGGTGTTTAGAGACAGAGTCAAGGAAGAGTAGAAGAAAATAGAGCATATCAATACAAAGGCAATGATAGCAGATCCTTTGACTAAGGGGCTTGTTCCAAAAGTCTTGAAGACACATGTTGCTAATATGGATATTGTGGAAACATTTGATTTTTTTTGTTAGTGGGAGTATATTTATGTAAACGAACTACATTTTGGGGTTGATCCCTTTATGAGATACGTAAGCAATCCATATGTTTTTCAAGTACAACTCCTTTCCAATAATGAAATATATTTTCCCTATCCATGAATTATTTTGAGCATGCAATTGACTTATGCCTTTTATTATGATATTATTTTAGTATCGAGATATGACAGGTAAAGACATAAGATAAGTCTCTTTTAAAGACATGTGGCTTCATTTTGATCTGAATCATTATAAAGACCGATACGAATTAGCACAGTTTTTTTTATCACATTTGGTATTAAGTTCATACTACATACTATCACATAGGTTGGAGGATGGGGATCCATGTCGATAAGGATGTTGGCGTTTGTAGCTGTGGAATGGTCTTACATCGCTTAATTATTGTAATGATTTCCATGTTCGGTGTTAACATTCTTGTTAGACCGGATCATATTGCGTAAGGTGTTATCATTGAAGCTATACTATTGTGGCCACTTATGTAGTCTAACCCGGATGTTAAATGTTTTGTTATAGCAATCAAATGTTTGCCTAAGTGGGAGGATGTTGGAATATTTTTAATATGGGCTTTTTATTTGATTATTTATTTTACGGGTTAGATATATGACTCATAATGATATTTGTGATTGGGCCAAATTTATTAAGTGGTCAATTGGCCTTTTACACCTTAAGGGTTGTATTTAATATGATGTGATAATTTTAAGTATGTGAACTGGAATTATATGTAAAACCTAATTAGAGTTTAAGTCGTAATAGGACGGCTTGATAATTTCTTATATAAAGGTTAGGTCTTCTCTCATCTCCATATTCTTTTATTAGCTTGCTCCATTAACGGCTAATAATTTATGAGGAGCAATGAGGGGAAAATCTAGCTGCTATTATTCATATCAACGATGACTTCCGGCCTTCCGCAGGTATGAATTCGATTTATCAATTTATTATTTTGTAATTCTTGATTTTAGCTGCCTAGATTTGAAGGTTGAGATTACCTTGGATGCCGAGGTTGTCTCCCTAATATCAGGGTCGGCCGTGAATATTGGAGAGCTAGGCAAAGAAATATCACCAAAAACAATTGTCTATGCTCTTCGACCACTCTGCAGTTGTGTCCCATTGCAAGCTTCATCGTGCTCCAAGCCTTCAATGAATTAAAAGCATTGACTCAACAGCCCTCTGGGATTCACAATCCAAAGCTATCCAACTACTGAAATGGATAGGCAAAATAGTACATTGGAGGCTGATCATGTTTGATAAGGCGGGTTGAATAGTATTGGACAGTGTTACTATTAGTGTATAGTGACTTAAATTCTATTTGGGCCAGCCCGAAAAGCTCACGATGCGACATATGTGACGAAACTAGAATTATGAGGAAAAATGAGGGTTTATGGTGGCAGAGGGATCAAACTAGCCGCATCTCTTGTAATCATCTTTGATATAGTGAATTTCTTCTCCTTGCCCATGGTTTTTTCCTGTCTTCGGTTTTTCACCGAAATCTTGTATTCTTGCTATTATTTCATTTATTGCTTATTCTCGTTTTTGTGTAACAGTTATGAAGAAAAATAAGTTAAAATCTCAGCTATAGTACTGTTCAACACTGTGTCTCAACATGCTCTAAATGATCTCGATATTATGTATAATGTGTTTGCTATTCTGGTGCTAATGTTATGTTCAGTTTGTATATTGAAGACCTTATATCAATCTTCTCAACCGCCTATTTTGAACCCTTTGATTGATATATTGTTTAAGGCAATCTTTATCAGTATATCACAACGAGAGTTCCTGTATTTTTTTCTTGTCTATTAGCTTCTTTTATGGCGTCTATAAGAATATTTTGTACGATAATCAACAAGACATTTTACGTCTCTAAAAGGAGCCCATGTGTTAGTCATGTTAAGAATACATTTGTATCCATGATAGAGAATTCATCGACAGTACACTTTTCCTCC